GGCTCGAACTTGTCATCTTTCACCTATCAAATCAATCACTTACCACTGCACCCAACTAACACTTTATGAAATATTTTGTAGAATAAAATATTTATAATAGTTTGATCAACCCGACAGTTTTACCGATTGAACCAATTGAACCAGTCAAATTGTAAACCAAAAGTCAAAACAATTTAACTTCCGGTTCGAGTTTAAAAACATTGGTTAAAACTCTATATCTAGGTTGAGAAGAATGAAAGGAGTGGGAAGAATTACATCTTTGTGTATATTTCTTCTCTTTTTTTTTTATTTAGATAAATAATTAAATTTAAAAAAAATAAAAAAAATTTTCCTTTTCTTTTCTTTTAATTTTTTTTGATAACTTCATAAAAATTTTTTTTCCTCCTTATCCCTCTTCTCTATTCTCATTATCCCAAATATATTATAAAAGACAACACGTTGTAAGTCATCTTAGGCGGTTAAGCCATTTGCAGATAACGAGACAACGATAAATGTGTCCGATAAAATTGGCAAATCATACAAAAGAAAACCCTTGAACTTGTTGACCAGTGACATAATCAATCCTCAACCTAAATCAGTAGCGTTGAACCCCTCAAACTCTTTAACAGTGGCGTCAGCAATCCGTCCAAAAGAAAAGCAAATTGTGTTGAATTTGTTGGTATCTAGGGAAATAGATAAATCAATACTAAACATGGAAAAATTTAAGGCATAACCTTCATGATCTCTGGAAGTTTATGAAATGCGTAAATGAAAAATGTAAAAATTGTGATAGCTCTTACAATACATAGGTTAAATTTTAAATTTAGTTCTTAACTTTTCATTTGTGAACAATTTTAGTTCACAAACTATTTTTCACATTTTTTTGGCTCTCAACTATGAATTTTTTTGTCCTTCAATAAATTTTATCTGTTAAGTTTATGCAATTGTAGCACAAGCTATAAGATTTGTAACAAAAAGTATACATGTTTTTAGGCTCTTGCTAACATAAATAACGCTTTAGCTATCTGCAATTTTTCTTCATATATCCCCCAAGTAATTTGAACTTTCATGCTCTCTATATAGAACCTTTGCACTACTCATTAAATACTTCACCAATTCCATCTGATTGCCAGTGTCTTCAAATCCCTCAATTTCAATTGTTTTAATGCGAAACAGCAAACAACTAACTCTAGGTTCCTTTAGAAGTACAAAGCATCCAGATTCCACTTATCTGGAAACACCTGAACAGAGACATAAATATATATAGAATAACCCACATATAATCTCGACGCTGCGCTATCAGTCAATCAATTCGGCAATTTGATTTCATACCTTAAAAACAAGGGTTTCCAAAGACTCACAACGTCCTAGTAAATGTAGCAATATTGACGAGTCCTGACAATCATTGCAATCGAAAAGTGTCAAATGAGACACATTACGCAACACAGGGATTGGAATGTCCAAATTTATGGGATCCTGCAAAAAGAAAGCAGTTAGCTGCAGACATTTGGCTTTTAAAAAATAACTAAATGAGAAGCTAGCCAATTCATAAATAATTGTTCATTATTGAAATAAGGAACGCTCAGAAAACTTACATTTAGAGTTGCAACTGATGTTCCAAGTGTTTGGGCAGTTTCACGAACCTACACTGTAGAAATCTTCAGCTACTTCAATACTTGAAAATCCCAAGGATGTTTTCTCGGGAAAAACACTCCGCCGTTCAAGTTAGCAATACTCAATATTCTAGAGAGAGAAGCTCTCAAGAGTAATTGTAGAGAGGGAAGCATAGTGGAGTTAATATCTTGAGTGGAGGTAGTTGGGGGTATTTATAGCCCCCAAGTCCTGACACAAGACTATACATGTAAACCTTTGATTAGCCCACGTGCATGCGCCCACGTGGGTATGTGTATACTAGTATATGGATGTCTATTCATCTTGGGCTTATGGATAAATGACTGGGCCTGTTGTGCATGGCCTAGGTTGAATGTTGGGCCCATTCCCAACATTACTCCCCCCTCAGCGTTCGGTTGACGAACTGGGTTGAATGTACCCATGGCCCAACATTCGACCTGGAGAATAAGGTCTACAATCTTTGGATTTTATGAACGACCTCGTTAACGACTGAACTGAAAGATCACGACACAGGATACACACCCAAATGTTGAGGTTTGACTTGAACGAGTTGTGATGTATTCGAGTCGAACCCTAGATGAGAAAGCCTTTACGAAAAAGGTTGCACTTGGGTGACCTAGACCTAGAACGACCTCATCCATTAGAGTTTGGATTAAGCATCTATGATTAGAGCGAGCTTATATGCCTAATTGTGAACGAGCGAGCTAATATTGTGACAATCTTTCTCGGGTGAACTCAGTGCATTAATGAGCTCAACGAGCTCGTAAAAGGCAAACTCGCATAACGAATTTCCAAGTTCCTCGCGGAGTGGGTTTAGAAAGAGATGAAATCTCTTGGTAAGGCGTGTGTCATATACGAGGTGTTACGTGGTGAGCTCGCCCACGTCAATGTGAAGATGAGCGAATGCATGATGACCCCAACCTAGGACGATCTGAATTTTCCAAATTTTAAAACAATGCAGGTCTCTAAGGAGATGCGATCGAGCTCGTCTACTTAATTATAAAGGCGAGCTAGCGCGCAACGACCTCGTCCAAGAGGAGATTTGTTACGATCTCAGATCTCTGAGGAGATGTGGTTATGAAACCGAGCTAATATGTAACGAGCTCAAAACTTGAAACGAAGTAGATCTCTAAGGTATGGAACAAATCTGACGAAATCTGTTACGACATGAACCTCGGGGATTTTTCAAATTTTAAAAAACAAAGCAGATCTCGGAGGAGATACGGTTGATATCCCTTTGCCAACGGATATCTCTCTGCCTTCCCCGCAATAAATGCTTGCTCAGCATTTGAAGAGACGTGACAGCTAAAGCCAACGGACGCTACATGACAAGTTTAAACGGCTGCCACGTACGGGGTTTTAACTAGCATGTCAGGAACACATGTACAACAATTAAGGCTGCATTTTCTATTTCAGAAAAGGGAAAAGGAAGAGATTGTATACCCATTTTCTATTTCTCTTTCATTTCATTTTCTGTTATTCTCTACAGTAGAGGCCCTTGAAGTTTTTGACACGAAGTTCTAAAACCACAACCACAAAAGGAATTTTCGCAACCAATACTCAGGCAAAAAATGGAGTTTTTTAGAGAACTTAAAGAGTTTCGGGGTAACCAGGGGAGGGAAGAGGAAGAGTGTGTGATTTTAGTGGAACCCATTGCCATGATAGTGCCACTAGAGTTACAGGATTTGTCGAAAACCATTACGCCGGAGAGTAGCACCAGCTCAAGCGTAGGTGAGCACTTCAATGACCACCATTCTACAGCCTCTAAAGGCTCGTCTTTAGAGAGGATGCCCAATGAGGCAGGAGATGGGGGGGGAAGGTGCTAGCAGTCTTTCCATGGCGCCTGTGGAGGTGAATGTATCTATGTTTGCAGAGTGGGAGGGTAAAACCATCGATGGCAGGTTAAGCAATATCCATAAAGTGCCAAAAGATTTGCCCGCTGGATTATGTTCAGGACGGTACTTCACCATGACGTAGTAGATAGTGCCGCCTCTATTAGAGGGTACAAAAAATTGGAGATGGTGAGGCAATATCAAATCCCCAAAACAATTTTGATACAAACTAGCATGAAGAATGAAAGGGTGTGCTCATTGGGACTGTATGGGTGCTAGTGTACATAGACCATTTTGACGTCGGTTTACGTTTTCCTCTGCTCGGGCTAATTTTTAATGCTTTGGCAGAGTACGAGCTGGCCCTAACGTAGCTGACTGCCAACAGCATAAAGTTTGTTATAGGATTTATACTGTTGTGTGCGAGGTTGGAGATACTCGCAAAGGCAATAATCTTCAGGTTGCTGTTCTAGTGTTGGTTATGCCCTTCCACTAACGGAACGAGGTGGTACTACGTCTCCGGGAGGGAGAAGATGATGCTTTTTAAGAATGTAAGGAATAAAGTAGTGAGATGGAAAAGACAAATTCATTTTCGTTCGTGACACGCGAATGGAAAGGATGAATAACGAGCTCGCTACTCGTATTTTTGAGTGGCGTGTTCCAAAGACGTATATAAACTATCCCTAGCTGACTCCTCGTGATGTCGACTTGAAAAATCAACTGTTGGATTATGTGAGGGCTCAGGGATTAGTGGATCCAGAGGCCCTGGTTACCCCCGAGCAGCTCGCTGTGTTTGGGTTTGTTGACATGGCAAACAAATATACCAAAGGTATTTTTCTATTGTATATTGTGAATTCTAACCGATTTGAGTCTTATGCATTTGTTTGTATAGGAGAAATGAGTAATGTATTAGAGAGGCAATGCTAACGAGCTCAAAGCTCGCGAAGCCATGGGGTGAGGTCTAGCTCACAAAGGCAGACTCGCTTTGATGAACGGCTGCCTGTGGCAACGGGGCGTAATTCATCACATAAAAGTTCGAGCTCGGCATCGACGCCTTATGCCGAGTAGAGAGTTGAAGCGACACCTTTGAGTTCATGAAGGCGAGCTCATGATGATTCAAATGCTAAAGACGACGTGGCTCTTATTCGGCGTAGAACGATCTAAGGCACTCAGCCCGTCCCAACTGCTACAGCTCACCCGCTTAGCGTGCCCTCATCTTTTGCACGTGATGTTATTGAGCCATTAGCCACATCTAAAACTATGACGGGCTCCCAAATTGAATGCCCTGAGGGCTTCAATTACATTAAAACCGACTGTCAGGCAGCCATAGTGTAGGGTATGCAAAGTTTTTGTTCCTCCGGCCATTTCGACAACATGCAAAGAAGCATATTCAGTAGCATGGGGGCCATGCTATTATGTTTAAGCTGATGGATGTAAGTACTTTCATCAAGCATTTGTATTATTATACATTTTCAATTTGGTGTTAGAAATTAACAATTGAATTTATGTGGTAGGCGTTCAGCTACGCGGTCGCACTTTTCGATTGCAAGCAGGGGGCACGTGGGCAAAACCGCAAGCTGAATGATAATTGTAAGCAATTGACATCTAAGAAGGCAAGCCTATAGGAGAAGGTCAACCGCCAACAGAGCTTGGAGATGGCCAACAGGGCTGCGTCAGCTGAGAGTCGAGCTAACAAGTTGGCCAACAAAGTCTACGAGTTGAAGGAGGAGCTGGAGAAGGCTCAGGCCAAGAAGGAAAGTGGGATTCAAGTGGCGAAGGATGAGGCTGGCCATGCTTAGGAGAGTGCAAAAAAGGCAAAAGCTGATAGGGATAAGGCTTTGAACGAGTTGAACTCCCTACAGCAAAAGGTGACCAAAGCCAACCAGAACCTTGCCCGCGCTAAAGAGGGGTTGAGTAAAGCTAGAAGTTCTCACCAGTGCTCTATAAGCATCGCCCGAGCTCAAGGAGCAGAGTGGCTAGTTGGCTCGGACATGTTCCCAAATGTCGTGGCCGTAGCGTTTCTGAACACTACCATGGAGATCTACAATGAGATCCGTGGGAAGGTGTTGTGGCACTGGCCTGACTTGCCCATCGGCGAGCTAGCGTTCTTTGAGGGGAAGGAGATGGACAAGCAGGGTAAAGTCTTGCTCCTTTTACTGACACAATGGTGCAATTGAGATGGGAGCTGAACGAAGAGGGAGTGCCAGTGTGGCTTCCTTCAGTCTTAGAGGAAGGAGAGGATCTAGAGGGTCTGCCTAGGTTTGACTCATTGGAAGACGAGGCACCCAAGGTGGAAGCTAAACCTTCCAGCACTCCTCCCTTTTCTCAACCCATACCTGAGCCAGCTTGCACTTCTCCAACTCATAGTTTTCCAGCTCGCACTTTTTTGGCAGTTGTTGAAGCATCCGTTCCAGTTGATTTGACAGACGATTAGGATTTTAGTCTTTATTTTTTCCTTTTGAATTTTTGTATTGATCAATTGACCTCTTCGAACTCCGTTATTGTTGTCCTCTATGCCATTATGTGTAAATTTTGAAAAGGAAAACAATTTGGGCAATTTTATGGAATTTTCGTATCCACTGAACTGTGTATGCATTTTACATACCCTAAATAAACTTCATGATAACATATACACTAACTGTAATATTTTCTGAGGTTGTGTATGTTTCAAGTGAATGGTAATTGACAACCTTGTAAATCTGCTAACAAATAAGACCCAAGTCGTTTAATATGAATAACCATGTAAGGACCCTCCTAGTTTAGAGCGAGCTTGCCCATGTGTGAGTGAGTATTAGTGAGTCCAGCTTTGCATAAAACTAGGTCGCCGACCTGAAATTGACGAGCACAAACCTTTTTATTGTAAATCTAGCAACGCGACTTTGATGGGCCACGTTTTTCATCCGAGACATCTCCTTAACCTCCTCGACAAGGTCTAGGTTTTCTCTCAGGGGTTGCTCATTATTAGAATCATTATGCCGAGCTGATCCATTAGGTGACAATCCAATTTGTACAAGGATTACGCCCTCAGCTCCATAGGCAAGACCAAGTGGGGTTTCACTGGTGGTCGAGCTGGGCGTAATGCGACACGACCACAGCACTTTATTGAGCTCGTCAACCCAATTAGAGTGTGCGTATAGGACATGTGTCTTAAGGCCACGCAAGATGATTTTATTGGCTGACTCTACTTGTCCATTTAACTATGGAGTATATACAGACGTGAAGGCCAGCTTGATGTTGTAATCATCACATAACAACCTGATTGTTGTTGCTCGAAACTGGGGTCCATTGTTAGCAATTATCCACTTAGGGATACCAAATCTACATGCAAACGCATTGGCTAAGACACAAATATTTGTGCACGTAATGCATACATGGTTTAAGCTAGGGGTGTTCGCGGGGTGGTTTGGTTTGGATTTTAACATTTTTTAATCCAATCCAATTTAATCGGTTAGTAAAATTTTTAAACCAATCCAATCCACTATTATATGATAACCAAACCAATCCAATTTAAATCGGAT